AAAAAAAGCGGATATCACAAGCCTGATAAACTCTATTTACGGAAAAGGCTCAAAGTGATTATCAATCATAAACACATGCGATTTCGGCTCCTTGAGAATGGCAGCCATTCTGTTGCTGACTCACAGCGCATCTGCCACGGCGAATCCGTTATTACGCATCCGTCATCATTCTACCACAACCCAGTGTGCTGCTGGTTGTGAAGGAGGTTCCAATAACCTGCTTTCAAAGACTGCCCCAGTTTCCCCACAGCATGTTTGGTTTCAGCTGAAGAGGGCAAACACCATCCACGCACAGCGAAGTATTTCGATCGTACAAGCTTGAGACGAGACGACTCTGTTTTATGGAGACTCGGCCCCGATGTCCAACCATTCTCATTTCTCAATCGGGCTTCAAACCGGCTACTGGAGGATGATGTGATAAATCTTACTGATCCCAAATCTGCTACGGTATGCATCCGATTGATTGCAAACAAAGCACAGCTAGTTTAAGAGCTCTTTTCTTCAAATTTGGATGGGAAAGTGTATTGATTTGCAAGCTGAATTATCCGTTGCCTCCTGTTGTCTGTCGCCGATTAAATTTTATCGCCGTGGAGTGAGAAATGGTCCAATTTATTAATCTAATCCAATACCTTGATTTCACATGAATTTATGCCCTCACAGAATTCATTATCGTTAGCAAAATAGAGGACAGCGGACAAGTATCGGATTAAAGCTTTATACTTCAGCACGAAGTAAGAGTTGTGCGATTTTCTTAACAACGAAACCTTGTCATGAACCCTGAAACGGTCGGCTAATCAGGCTGAAGTAATAAACGTTTCACTGGCATCGTTATGAGTTTAAACTAAAAACGGCAAGGAACCATTAAAACAAAAATCACCATTAATCGCGTAAGAAATCACGGAAATGTTTTTCGCAATAATTTCATACGTCTGCTGGCAAGGTACGATTCATAAACATCTATACAAGGTAGCCTAATAAGTTTAGAAGTTTCCCGGATGTAGCTACTTTCAAGTGATACCATTTTGCCACTTAGAGACGCACAAATATGAAACACAGAATGCGATGCCCAATGAACAGTCAGAACTGCAAATTGCGCATTCTTGTACAGCCTGCAACAAATGGACAATTCAGACTAAATAGCAACGCCGAGGACGTCATCGAAGGCGCTTGAGTGCTAGTGAAAGAATTCAAACATGATTTGGGACCTCGAGGAGGATGAAATGCAACTGATGGACAAATTGAGCATTCTGCTGGCACTCACGCAACGTCAAGAATACCAGATGTGTTTTCCTTGATATTATCATCCCGAATCGTTTGCGTAGGCACAATTCATATGGTTTTTGATGTCCGCTGTACTCGCAGCTTTCTACAACACTTTTGCTGCAACGTAGAAGGAGGTAGTACTCACAGAAAGTAGATCCGCCTATACCTTATTACTCCATGTTGCATGCTGGCCTTCTGATTGAGGTAGGCTGTATTTTTGGCTCTCACCAAAGAATCCTTTGGACTAGAGCAAATGGTTTGTGCTCAGCTGGCTTACTGTTTGTCGAACAGGGCCGAGCTTGTGTTCTAAATCTCTACATCTACTTAAGTCACAGTGCCCAAAAGACAATACAGTCTTCCCTTATGTGATCCTCCTACCATTTGGCGCGCACATTGCGTTCACTACAAGGAAGACAGTTTGTACACTCAGTTGAACCTATGTGAAAGGCCGACGGCAAATGGTGAACTCTAGTAGCCTAAGTCATAAGGTTATGAAGTAGCTGGAATTTGCACCAGTAGTGTTCAGATCACCACCTTGGGCGGTTTGCATAAGCAGAACATATCTGGTATGTTATACCAGCTGTATTCGTAGTTGTTCAACACCGACGGTGGGAACAACTGAAACGATGACAACATAAATCATGAAAGGTATCAAGCATACACATTGTCCATGAGTTTCTGTTAGTTTTTCAGTCACTGTCCACTTAAGTTTTTATTTGTTTATTGTCGCTGTGTTCACCTCCGCCGTTGTCGGTTACAAGTCCGGATAAAAAGGAGGAGGGTAGGCGACCATGGCAAAGATGCTATAAATTTCTGCCACCTTGCTTTCATGACATCGACGGAATATCAGCACAAGCTGTCATTCGCTTGTCGTTGCCAACTTCTGAATTTCCTGTTGCTTCGTTCTTACTCATTATATGGCAAACCGAAAAATTGCCCGGAAACAACATGCAGGAGAAAAACAGATGTCACACTACTGCAAAAGAACACTCTCCTGCTGCCCCCTGCACTTTCTAGCGATAAGTTCGAACGATTGCCGGGCGATGTGCCTAACGTCGAGGAGCTCAAAACGCGTCTCGCTTCCCTAGAGCAACATCTGCACCGTTCTCTCACTAGAAATTTGACTCATATCCGACGGACGATGAGAACGATATAGGCTTGGAAGGCTTTGTTTGTCACTTCGATGGGAGGGTCATAACGACGTGAATCAACTTCACCTGGTGTGCAAACTGTTTTGAGGAGTCAAAGACGATGATATCCGATGACTTTTTAGCTTCCAATCAATCAAAGACCAACTTAAAGCAGGTTACTGTATAATTCGGGCAACGCTTCGTTAAACGCGTACGTCTTCAGCTCAACGTGCCAGCAACAATACTGCAGACTACGCTTCAGATTTTTTTCTGTAAAACCCACGCACGACGAATGTGTTGGGAAATTACTTAACACGAAAGAATAATCAATCATTCTGACATAAGTTTCTTTTGAAGCAACGCAAAGCGAACTTGTCACAACACCGGTTTTTCTCTGAAGGTCAGGCAATCTAACGTACCGTATGATGGTGGATGATGAGCCGTGACAGAAGTCGTTCCCATCGTAATCGTGTCTATGCGAATCTCGGTAGTTATTTTCTTCCAGACTGTCCACGTGACAGAGTCTCGTTCCTCTTCTTTACACTGAACCGGTGGCGTGAAAAGAACAGAGTCTTCCAGTGACATCACTGGCATGTGCGGCGGATTCCCCAGCTTCTTCATGAGCTCATAACGCCGGCTGTTCCATGGTAACTGAGATCGGATCGAGGAAGGCTCTTTTCACGAGGTTCTGGACTACTTCAACGAACTCTAGCAGTGATTCCAATCCACACTTCAAGACACGACGCTACAGTGTACTTCCTGCTCGCCTGGACTCAACCATATTCATAATCCACTCTTGTGGTGTAACGGTGATCACTTCAGTTTCACATGGTAGATGACCCTGGACCAGTAACGTCACTCATTATGCAACCTAGTCACTTCGAGCTCCTCAGAAGTGATCACGTGTTATGACGAAGCGTTTACTCACGTACTTCTAAAATAAACCCATTTCGTTATGAAACCGCTGTCATGTACTACACTATCTAATAATAATGGTTCAGTTCTTGGCCAACAGCTTATTTATTTACTGATGTTAGATAAACAGCGATTCCTCTGCAAAAATATGGCTTTCTTGTTGATTCATGGCAAAGGACAAAAAGCAAATGCTAATGGTGAAAAGTTTTCGGACGAAAACAGCGATTATTAATGATTTAATTTTGTGAATTTGTTGTGGGCGTCCAAGGAAGGCTACTAACTCAGAATAGTGAGTATACAGTGTACACTGAGTGCAAACGACTGTTGCAATGGTCACAGGACAAGCGAACCACTGAGTGAAGTTAGAGTATTCACACAATTGGTTTGGATGCATATTCGTGCTACGGGGCAATTTCACCTACAATCAAGTAACTGTGAGATGAGAGGTCGACTTCGCATTAGCAAAAAGCATCCACGATTCATAAACATCAAAATATGGTCGTACTCTGGAGTATGCTCAATAACTGGGAGCTCCTTCATAACTGCCTATGGGGGTTACATAAAACGGCCGTCGCCCAATGGTAGTTGAACGCCTACAATGCCAGATACATCTCAAATCACTTTCCGCTACAGTGAGTTCGCCGCCAATACGAACGACGTTTCAGGAGCTGGTAATCTTCATAGGCCACAACATGAGCACCAGAATATGTCCTTACGCCGGAATATGTCAAAGAGTACATCGCTCCTCAATACCAGGTTTCACCACGTACCGCGCAGTCCTTTATTCAAGTTCCTAAAGGAGTTATTATTTCTTAGGGATCACGGTTCAGTGATATTTTAAGTCAGGTGTTTAACGAGTTTCGCAATATTGAATGTACTTCGGCATGAGAACATATTTGATGCTTTTTACTTTTTTCCAAGTTGAGTCGCCCACAATCGGCATTTATATGATGTGCTAGGGTCACAAGCTTAACTTCGTATTTTACTTGAACCAAACGGAATTCCTTAGACAAAAACCTCCTGAAAAAAATTCAGCTCAGATATCAAAATTAGGTTTCCACTTTGCCATTCTGTCAATCATACTCGGTTGCTCACAAAACGACACTATAGATCAGCTTGTCAGCTCGATTCAGCTGATAAAATGATGTTTCTTTAAGCCGACGCGATTCAAGAGTGAAAGTCAAACTGTAGCCTGAAAATTGACTATTTTTTTCCATAAACTGACAGAAGCATTATTCAGTGGAATAAAAACAGATCTTAATATATGCGACGTCAAGTACTGGTCTATCGAACTGATAAACTGAACAATGAAGCGTTGCTCAAACCCTTCTAAAACCTGATTATATCACGTACTGATCCTTCGCAGTTTGTACTTCTTACAGTCTAGAAAATCGAACTTTCGCTTATGTAACTATTTATTAAACTGCTTGTTATTTGGAAGGTAGTGTTCCTCTAATACGTCAGGATTCGAATCGATTGCCGTTAATGCTGTGGTAGGATGGAACAACTAATGTAAACTAGATTCGGTGGTTGAATTGATTTGAAGGAAGATGTGAGATAACTGGCAATGACAACGAGAAGCAGTACACCAAAGAAATCAGTCTCCTATGCAACAGGAACGCGGAGATCGCTGAACAAGGAGAAAGAAAAGAGTTTGCATGCCGATAAATCAGCCTGACATCGTCCAGCTTCTGTCACCATTCAACGTCCACACATTCCAGAAGTTGACAGGTACCTTCTCCTTTAGAAGTTAGGCTATGATGAATCAACCCTTCTTTGGAAAAAACATTTCCACCGCCCAGTGGATGCAAACTGCGCATCGTACAAGGGTCATGCACGAAGCTCGAAGCAGGCAGTTCACAGGCTTCACAGGCACCTGTGACGCGTTGGCACACTCCTCTCAGAGATCTGCTTTGAATTCCGGCGATGCGAGATTCGACTTTGGTCGAGGGCAATTTTTGTTTTATTCACTAATTCCGTTGAGCAAAAAATTTACCACACTTTGCTTAGTTAGTAGAGAGTCCGTTTCAGAAGGGAGAGGAATCAGATTCGAGCCACGATCAAGGTCACTCGCAACTCTTCGT